TGGGTATGTTCCGAAATTAGCTGGAAGTACTGGCGCTGCTGTTACTGAATTAACTGACTTTTGCTGTTTCGAAATGTAAGATTTTACTGTCTAGTACTGAATTTTGGAACGGAAAAGCAGTAAAAGAATGTTATTTGTACTCTGTACGTAACCTTAATATTTTCAAGAGATCGAAATACAACCGAATTCTGACGTATAACCGATATGGACCGACGTGTTTTATCAAATATTATTGAAATTATACTGGAAAACGATTCAAGCAGTGACAGTTCTGATGATGACATATTATTACATATATTAAATCAGATTGATGGCAAACGCGGATCATTGCTACTAAAACCTCGTGTACAGAATTACATTCAAAACGTAGTTTCTGTATTATCAAACGTAGACTTTAAATCACATTTTCGGTAAGAAAAAGTTATTTATGTATATTGAAAATATACTTAATAAAATATATGTAATATTCATTATTTGTAATAACGTATGTATATTATTTGTAGAAATGTGTGTACCATATCGCTATACTATTTTATAAATATATACTACTTTATAAAAAATAAATAGCACTGTGTATATACTATTATCGGTATCTACAATCTCGTATGACTTTAATTTTGAATCCATAATTCTTTTTTTCTTTCGTACTTCCAGTATTAAACTTATCACGATCAGACGATTTCACGCTCCGTGCTCTGTTACTGCTTTTACTGTATTTGCCTCACCTCTTGGGATGGAGTAGAAACAACCGGAAGTCAGCAATCCCCTAGGGTCAATTTATGCAGAATGAATAGTAACTTGCAGTAACTGACAGCATAAGAAATTCTATTTTGGAACGATAAATCAGTGCTGTCAGTACTGCCAGTTAATTTCGGAACATACCCTATATCGGAACACACCCATACAAAGCTGGTTCTACATTAGTCGAATCGCAGCGTCGCAAGCGTTGCGGTCCAATCAGAGTCGAGCTAGCTTGACGTTGATTGGACTGCAACGATTGCGACGTTGCGATGCGACTAATGTAGAACCAGCTATAAACGATTAACGACACTCGACCCGGGCCACTGTCACCAAGCTCAGTTAACTTAATTGGGCCAATTAATTCATCGGAATTGACCAATCTGTCAATTCTACAAACAAAATGACAAATGCGATTGGTCAATTCCGATGGACTAACTGGCCTAGTTAGATCAACTGAGTGGTGACAGTGGTCTCCGTCATCCGACTTATTGGCTGCGTTCAGCAGAGAAAGCAGCTTTGCAACTGTTGTAAAATTCTTCAATACGATTGGTTCTTGCTTTTGGTTCCTTACAGATCTAAACGTATAAACCAATCATATTAAAGAATTTTACAACAGTTGCAAAGCTGCTTTCTCTGCTGAACGCAGCCATTGTAGAATGGGTCTAAGGAGTTGGCAGTCTAGTAGTATATGTGGTCTGTGGTTCTGCTGAACGCAGCCATTGTGCGCAGGACTTTACAATGGAGTAAAGTATTGTGTCATCATGTGTCAGTATATGTGGTAAACGCAGTGAAATTATTCTATTCATCAATTCTATTTTTGGTTGATTGGTTTCTGCTAATATCGTTAAATATTTACATCATATTGCGATTAACGAGTCAAAATGTTTGGCAAGAAAAAAGAACCAAGACAATCTAGACCAGTTGGTAGTTTGGAACAGGTATATTGTGTTTTATTCTTCTTAGTAAAAATTGCGTATTATGCTGATTCTACAATGAGTCAGTAGTCGGTAGTCCTAACCGGGGTTCTATAATGAATCAGTAGTCAGAAGTCCTAAGTGAAATTCCTTAATTGGTGAAGTTGGCCAATAGTTGGCCAATTTACGTATGACTAAGACTACTGATTTTCTTAAAACTGGCCAAATTTGACTTTATTCCTTAATCCTTCTCATTAGTCAAGCTAAACGACTCGTTATATGTACAATTAACAACTTGTAGATGCGAAAAATTATAAGTCACCTATTTGGGTTAAGACTGGTTAATGGGCTTTCTACAATAAATCATTATCTAATCTTTAAATCTTAAGTCATAAGAAAATGACCAATTGTTATAGTCGATTATTCTTCTCACATTTGACTGTGATTGATCAATTTCTTATGGCTTAAGACTTAAAGCTTAGATAATGATTTATTACCCCGGATCTACAATAGAGTTTTAAACTTTAAGCCATAAGAAATGGACGAATCAGTCGATTATTCCCCTCGGATTTGACTGTAATTGGTCAATTTCTTACAGCTTAAGTCTTAAAACACCTATTGTAGATCCGGACTTATGGAAAACTAATTAGGACTACTTAAGACTTTCGATTCATTATAGAACCCTGGTAAGATTTCGGACTACCGTAGAATCAGCCTTGTGTATTTTGGGTTATGATTATTGTGAATTATAACATATAGTATTTGTAATTAAAAATAAATTAATTTGGCATTTCATTATCCTGTATGTTTGTTTGTTTTATACCTTTGATTTTTATTAGATATTTTGTAATGAATTGTTTCTCTTTTTCATTCATAATGGTCATGTTTTATATAGTATGGCATTTTTGAAGTCCCTGATATAAATATTGGCAATATCAATAGTAATATGGAAGATGATGATGATGATGAAAGTTTAGAAGTTGAATTAGCTGCTTTGGCTGCTGGTAATGATACAAGTTATAAAAGCAGACGCAGTGGTAAGTTGGCTTTACAAATTTTGTATTTTATATTATAAAAATATACTTTATAGAATGAGAATTATCACAAATTTATAATATACAGTCTATTCTATTTTAATCTGTTACCCCTTTTATCTTTTTTTTGCATAGTATCACCTGATAGTAAACATTAATGTACACCTTCAATCTGTCACTTTAGGTTATATGGCACAAAACTCTATAACTCAAATTTTATAGAACAGTTTTTTTTATAAATATTTATTTAAATTTAAATTTCATTCAGTTTTTACAAAGATATTGTATGTATATAATTTTGAGCTAACAAAATACTGCAGACCTTCTGAACAACTTGTATATAAATGTTATTGCTATATTTTATTATTTTTATAAATGTTATAGCTGCACGCAAAACTGTTACTGAGGTAAATTTGGATGAAATGGTAACCGGCTGCTTAAAGGATACAAATTCTGATGAAGAACTAATTGAAGGAGATGACGATCCTGTGTTATTGGTATATTAATGTATTGCTTGATGATATATTGCTATCAGTATAGTATGATTGATTACACTGAAATTTTTCATTGGTTTAGAGAGAGTTAGAGACGCTCACAGGAAATGATATTGTGACAGAAAAGGCAGATATGCCAGAATCAATGAAAGAAGAACAAGTAGAATATGATGAACATGAAACTAAAGAGGAAGATAATTCTATACCAAAACTAATCAAATTACTGCAAGAAAGACTAGAAATTTATGAGATAGCTGAGGAGAAAGCAAAAAGAAACAATGAAACTAGTAGAGCTAGAAGATATAACAGAGGTATAAAAATACTGAAAGAAATGTTGGTTTCTGTACAATCAGGTAAAAGTGTAAACGAAACTGACATTCCTCCAGCTTTGCCTTCTTCAGCTACCACTGAATCTACTGTTCAAAATATAGGTAGTACACATTTTTTTATGTATACTGTCTCATAGATATTTTTATCTATGAATTTGTTGATTATCTGTAATTAATCTTATATTTTACTTTAAAGAAAAAAATTTATGTATGATGTATAGACAAATTTTTTAATTCATCGATTGATTAATTATACATAAATGCAGCTTTTATGGATCAAAGTTATGTTTGCTTATAATAGAATGGAGCAATCAATGAATTAAAAAACCTACGAGTTTGCATGTGAAAAAAATTTTGATGAGAAGATTGAATGTATAACTTTGTATCTTTGTACTTTAATTTCTGGCTACATTTATTTTATTTATTATCGTAGTTTTCTAGATATTGGAGATTTGCGATATTGATTTTTATTCCATGTATACTACTTTGTTTTTATTGCAGAAGAAAAAACATCGTTACCAGTGAAAGTTAGTGAAACAATTGTAACATCAGATACCTCAAATAATGATAATCCTTCTGCACCAGTAGAAGATATCACAGTGGATCAAGAAGCTTTGGATAAATTAAAAAAACAGCAACAAAAATATAAGACTGCAGCAATTGCTTGGAAGAGGGCGGGTAACAAAGAGCAAGCGTTACAATATGTAAAAACTGTAAAACAATTCGATATAGTTATTGCTGCAGTCGCTGAAGGTGAAAAGCTTGATTTGTCAGATATGCCACCTACCCCAATTTTACCTTCTCCAACTAGTACTGCAACACCAGCTGTAAAAGAAGAAAATGAACTTCAACAGCAAGTTTCTTCAAGTAAGATGTACAAATTCTTCATAGATTATAAAATCTTTTAAAATTTGTCATACATGTATTAATAACATTGTCACACACACACACACACACACACACACACACACACACACGCACGCACGCACACACGCACACACACACACACTTTTTCCATACAATTAACATCTTCTGTTCTATAAGCGAAAAATCTTCTTTTTGTAACTGTCCGAATTATTTTCGCATATTTCTCACATGAGTCACGAGTCTCACATACTTATATATTTCTTTTCTGATGGCCTTCCGAAGCATTTCGTGAAAAGAAATGCCAATTTACAATTTTTTTCCGTTTAAATCCTAATTCTGCTGTACTAAATGTGCATTTTAGTATACATGGTTTCTGATAGGTTGAAATCTTTTATTCCCTGTTCCTATTGCCTGTACTTTTTAATGTGTTTAATATTTTATACACATATTATTTATGTGTCATTGATTGTATGTATTACTACATACTACTACATCAATGGCTGCATTCAGCAGAAGGCAACAATTTGCAATCGTTTTATGATTGCATAATCAGCAGACGCCATGATTTCCAACAAATTAACTAATCACAGTCAAAAATTATGAAAAACTTTTCAGCTTTGATTTAAATTTTCAAATCTGTAAAAAAAGAAAAAAGAGATTGTGACACAAAAATTATTGCATTTAATCCATAAAACAAACGACATAAGATCCCTTGAAGGGGATCCTAAAGTTATATGTACTACCGACTAAATGCAATAATTTTTGTATAAAAACTACTTTTTTTCTCTTTCATAGATTCGAAAATTCTTTTCCAGAAAAATAGTATAAGCATTAATACATGTCTGTGAGGTGGAGTTTACGCCCCGAGAACGAATACAATTTTTTAAATTGAAATCTTTACCATTTCTTAGTTCAATATGGCATTTAAAGCTCCCAACATGATGATATAACATGGTGATATTTGCTTGGTTGTATATATAAAAGCTTTGCAATCTGTACTTATGAAATTGTGATCCACAGACCAGTAGTTTACATGAATAAACAAGTGGAGTTCTAAGAATTAGACTTAGACATCTAATTAAAACTCTGTTTTTCTACGAAAATTCGTGTATATGTATGCGTGAGATATTGATTAGTAGTATATGTGAATGTGTCGCTTTTATTGGTAAAACAGCGATTTCATCAGAGTTCGGGCTCTCTCTCTCTCTCTCTCTCTCTCTCTCTCTCTCTATACTATAGAATCCCCTCAAAAGACTTATGCTCAATTTCTTCACCTCTAGATAACTTTATCTAAGAGATATATCTCCCAGATTACAATGGAGATATCTCTTGGGTAAGGTTATCCAGAACTTATCTGGAAGTGAAGAAATTGGATATTATCCAATGATATCCTACTCAACCTATGTTCCTATTTAAAATTTCAGTCTTTACTTAGGTTTGTCCTACTTTTGATAGCTTCCAGTAAATTAAAATGTTAATATTAGAGATAGTTCAGATAAGTTTTGATGAAAATTTTTTTCTCCAACTTCCACTATTCATTTCTAAGAAAAAAAGGTAATATGGGATCTGATACACTTTGTATATATAAATTCGTATTTATGATACACAACAGAAAGCTACATAATATTCAAATTTTGATAAAAAGAAAAATGTAATATGAATATAAATTACTGTGTTAAAAGTTGGTCCAGCAAAGTGCAATCCTGAGAATATAGAAGGAGCTCTTAAAGAACGTCTCGAGGTATATAGAAGAACAAAAGTAGCTGCTGAAGATGAGGGTAACATATCTAAAGCTCGGAGATATGGTAGAATTTGCAAACAATTTGAGGATGCTATAAAATTATATATGCATGGAAAGACAGCACCATTGGAAGAACTTCCTGTTCCGCCTGGTTTTCCACCGTTAATATTGACTCCACAAAATAATGATATCACCGTGCAACCTACATCTGCGTCTGAATCGTCTGAAAATAACATTGTAAAAGAGTCTGTGCAACCAAAACCACCTATTCCTCCTCCTAGAGGTAAAAAGTAGTAAAATCTCATCTACATAATTTACATTTATATTTGAAAAATATAATTTTTAATATTACATGTTTCGGCTATAATATTGAGCCATCTTAAGATATTCAAATAAACGCAGAAATGTTGTAAAATGAGGAACGCAGTGATAGAAAAAGTTAAAAAATTGTGTAGATGATACGCTAGATGAGGTGTGATGAGTGCCTTATAAAGAAACAGAAATTACTCAAATGATTGGACGATTGATTGTTTGTAATTACTCAATAATCTGACAAAAACCAAAATAAAAAAAATATATAAATTGTAAAAAGTATAAATTTGTTACAATAACTTATGATAATAAAGACAAGCATATCATCACTCTGATAAAAAAAACTCATCGACAAAGCCATACAGTTATGTTTCTCAATATATTGAGAAGGATACTCGTCAGAATAGTTATAACAATCAGTGAATATATATAATAGATACAGGGTTAGAAACAGAGTCATCAAAAAGTAAAAATTAGAATAAAAAAAATAGTCAATACAAATAATAGTGAAGAAATAAAAGTTAAAATGTATAACTGTCTTGACAGACAAACAACTGACTGAGAGAATAATAATTAAAAATTATTCTTAGCACTACAAAGTTAAATCTTGTTTATAATCGATATATAAGCTTTATGAAGGCCCTCTGTGTCCGTTTGGAGATTGAGATTATTTTTTTTATTTTTAATATTCAACATCTCCCCGAAATGAAACGTTTATCATAGCATGATTTTTCGCCCAGAATTTTGATATCCCATTCAAGCTGCAATCTATATTCTGTTATAACAGATCGGGCACACGTGTTCCAGCGAATGTGATTACGATGTTTTGTAATTCTTGTTAATAATTGTCTGCCCGTCTGCCTCACATATGATACATCCTTGTATACGACTTTATAAACATCATCTGTACATATAATTTTCTAACTTTTTCTATCACTGCGTTCCTCGTTCTACAACATCTCTGCGTTTATTTGAATATCTGAAGATAGCTCAATATTGTAACCATAACATGTAATATTAAAGATTCAAATTTAATTACAGTGTATTTTATGTTTTGATTTATCTCTTTTTTTTATAACTGATTTTTATAACTGACTTTTATACGCTCTTTCTATTACTTGTAATGTGATCTTTGTTAAGATACAAAACTATAAGGATACTTAAGTAAAGACAACAATTGGGATGGGAATTAAAACAATTTTGTATGTTGTTTTTGTGTAAATTCATCTATTTTTATGATATTCTGTTTTTATCTGTTAGAATATTTTCAGTGCATTCTGTTTCACGCATGATATGCGCATGTATTATTTTATTTTTATTGTTCACCGAATATTAAAGAAGGCTAAAATGATACATTATGCGCATCTTGCGTGAAACGAAACATTATATTTATATCCCCTTTATGCTGTCTTTTGTTATTAGGACAGAAATCAAATCAAAGGATTACATCACGTGCAGAGAAACAAATGCTACAATTGCAGCTACGGCAGCGTGAATTAAAGCAAGTTGCTCTAAATGCAAAGAAAGATGGGGATATGGATTTAGCACGTGACTATCTAAGACAAGCAAAAGGGATACAACCTTTAATCGAAGCCAGCAAAGCTGGCTTGCCTGTTGACATGACTTCAATTCCATTATCGCCTCTTGAAAAAGTAGAACTTAGTATAGCACAAAAGGACGAGAATTTCATCTTGATATCTTCTCAAGATTTCTTGGAAGACTTGAATGGGACAGACGATACAATTTATGAAAATCTTGAAACTCAATTAATGAAACAAATTAAGGTGATAATTGAATAATGTACAGCTCAAAAGAAAATTTATTGATATTTTTTTATATTATGAAAAGATTGACATTTGCATAATTTATTAAATACCTTTTTTTATGGTTTAACATAAACTAATAATTATACAATTTATCAATTTTTATATAAAAATTGACTTTACAGTGGTGTTTGTCTACACGAGATCATTCAAAAGCATTGGGAGATGTTCCTGGATATAATAGATGGGAACGGCTTGCACTGAACTATACGCGAGATTTAGATATGCTGAGAGTTCGAAAACGTGATTCATTGCCACCACCACAACATCATTATGAAACAAAAACTTATCAAATAGTACAGTTAGTATACATTAGTTTTGTTACCAGTATATGTAATTTAGATATAGATATGTAAGGTTTAGCAAAAAGAGACAAAATTATATTAGAAAAGTTGTACATTGTTAAAAATTTTGATTGGTTCATTTTTTATGCATTATGCTCTACGCGTTATACATGATTGTGCTCCTGTCCTAATTTTATACAATATCGTTCTACGAAAATTTATGTATATGTGTGCGTGAGATATTGATACAGTAGTATGTAGTTATGTGTGTCGATGACACATAAATCATATGTGTGTAAGTTTTATTAAATCGGTAAAATAGCGATCTTGTCTAAGTTCGATCTTCATTTTAGGATTCTCTTAATTGTTCAATCTTATTGCTTTCTCGTCAAATTATTTATCAATTTCTTTTTTATATTATACAGGTTAAATATAAAAAAATCTATATTTTTTTCAGGAGTTGCACGGATTTAAACGATAATGATATAGAAATTTCGATAATTAGAGGAATCAATTATTCTCGAGAGGCAGACACATATGTAATGTATGAATTTCCATTTCCATTGGATAATCATCCTGTAGATAGGACATTGACGATTAAAGATTCTGCCAATCCTGAATACCAAGCCATATTTTTGCTGAATGGTATTATAAATCGCACCTCTAGACAATGTCAGAGAGCATTCAAACGACACGCCTTGAAGTGTGAAATTTGGACGAAAGGGTAATTGAATCATAATATTTAATATTAACCCCTTAAGCGGCATTGACGCTTTTTGATGCAAATGCGTTTTTTGCGACTCATTGAAGTGATTTTTCTGAAACGTTATAGGGGTTTTTGAGGTCATAATAAAATTTGAGATCAAAATTCAAAATGGCTGATCAAGTATGATGGGTCAAGAATTTTAAAAATGCATAAAGTGTTACAATTTTTTTTAACTCTTCATCTAATAGCGTTTTTCACTGGCAGAGCTGGTGCGCACTCAGTGCACTTTAAAGCCGTTGTACACAAATCGACGTAAAGATGTACGTTTAATAAAAATATAGAAACGAATTAAACCGTGAAATCTTCAATAAATTTTATTGTGGTATTTGATAAAATATACGTTGGGTATTTTATTAATTTAGATATATCACTTTTACATTCAGATTAGGTTAGTGTACAACAGCTTTAATGTGTACTGAGTGCGCACCAGTTCTGCCAGTGAAAAACGTTATAAGGTTTTTTTAAGTCGTAGAATATACATATATGTATATTCTATACGCGCGCGCACACACGCACGCACGCGCGCGCACGCAAGAGAATGTTAAGTTTTGCTCATTTTTGGACCAAAAGCAATACCTATCTTAATCATTCGAAACTGTAGGATCTTCTAAACACAGAAAATAATAATTATTTAGCTATTAGGCTCAGGAAAAGTATTGAAAATCGGGATTTATTATTGATTATTGAAATATTATACAATATGAGCGTTTTTAAGCTTTGTACCCTTTAAAATAAAATTGATTGCACATTTATGTGCCAAAAGGCAGGTAGTAGATGTAGAGACAAGCGTACGTGTATTTTCTTAATCTTACTTTGAACGATCTTTGTATATATTGTAGCACATATCAACTAAAATAAGCAATAATGTTTATTTTGAAATTTTTAGGATTTTATAGACTGCCATATTGCATCATTTTGAATTTTTAAATTTTAATCATAAATTCGTTTTTAGAAACTCGAAATATCTTTATACACTCAATTTTACAGAAATGAATTTTTTTCCTGCTCCCAAGAACACATTTTGTCCGAATATCTTGTTGCTCAAGGGGTTAATTTAAATTAAAAATTTTAAGATAGAAGTTTAATCCATATCACAAAATATTAGAATCTACAATTATATGACATCTATACAAGGTGTATATTTTAACTTTCGCATCGAAATATCTCGAAAGGTATAAAAGATATGGAAAAATGTTAAGCCTCAAATTGTGATATTAGTATATTAAAACGGGGAAATTGAGGGCATCTACCACGAACGCTCGTTGTTTTTCAGCGAAACTTATCTTAAGATAAATACATTAAGAATTACAATAAATAAAAATATAAACGTTTCGGCCTCAGATTAGGCCATCCTCAGTATATAAAGTCAAAATTATAAAATTCACAAACATAAATAGTTATTTCTTTTAACATGGCTACAATTTACATACGCACGCTCGTTAAATTTATTTTATAAGCTTTCTTTAGTTTTTCGCACATTCGGAATGTGTCAGGCGAATTTCATCTTGTATTCCAATTTATTTCCGATCGCTTATATGAGGTTGTGATTGAAACACGGAATTTCTAGATTCTAATGATCATAATTGTCAAAGTTATCTTTCCTTGATTGAGTATCGCTGAGTTTTATAAGAATCTCTTGAATACTCTGATAAAAACTTTCTTTATTTTTTCCGTTACAACCTTGTTACTCGTTTTTAATCGTGCCAATATAACCGTCACCGGAACTTCCGATTCTCACGCATAGCGTCGTGGTACTATTTGGTACGCATTTGTAGTTAGTGCAAATACTCCTTTTTCCAGCGGATCCAAAAATGCTGTCTAATCCTTTGCTGATGCATCTTGACAGAGCATTATTTGCGTTTATTAAATTTTCTTGCATTGGTTCTGATTGTGAGTCTCCGATCAGGAAATGGGCGGGAGTTAATGCCGTTAGATCGTCAGGGTGCGAAGACAAAGGCGTTAAAGGACGGGAGTTTATGCTTTCGATTTCGGCTAGAGAAGAGTGTGCTAAGTTCTTCATATGTTAATATAAGATTACGCGTGGCAATATATAAGTGTCGTTTGGTGGCCTTAACGGCCGTCTCCTATAGACCTCTGAAGTTTGGGGATCATGGAGGTATAAATTTCCATTTAATACCTTGTGTCACCATACTTGCTTTGATTTCACCGGCCTGATCCTTCATGAATTGGTGTATGAATGGTGGCATGAATTACTTCCTTCAGCTCCCTTGATGCTCCTACAAAATTTTTGGCATTGTTCGAGTACAGCACCTTACAAAGTCCTCTTCGGGCTGTAAACCTTCTTAGAGCTGCTAAGAAAGCTTCAGTAGCCAGATCCGTTACTGCTTCCAAATGAACAGCTTTTGTATTAAAGCACACGAATAACGCTATATATCCTTTTGATATAGATATCCTTCCTCTTCTTTTCCTTCTCGAATTTGAATCGGGCCAGCATAATCTACCCCACTAATTGCGAATGGTCTTAAATAACCTTGAATACGATCCTTTGGTAAGTCCGCCATAATTGCTTCTACGACTTTGGGTTTAAATCGAAAACAGTCTATACACCGGCGTGTTATCTTGCGTGCTTCTTGTCTGCCAGATAACGGCCAATATCGAAGTCTGATTGACGCTAAGAGCTGCTTTGGTCCACAATGCAGTAACTTTCTGTGCTCCTCCTGAAATATAAGCGTAGTTACATAATGCTTAGAAGGCAGCACTAATGGGTATTTTTGATCCCATCCAATTTCAGCGTGTCGCAGTCGACCTCCTACACGTAAGAGTCCATCTTTGTCGGTAAATGAGCGAAGCGACAGTAATTTGCTTTTCCGATTAATCTCCTTTCTTATTCGTAAGTTGTTTATTTCTCTCTTGAAGGCTTGACCTTGCACCATACGAACTAGCATAGCCTTTTCTAGCTCTTCTATGGTAAGCTCTTCAGTCTTCTTCTCTCTTCTAAGATTGTTACCGAACCTCATGCAGTAAGCGATGATTCGTCTCAATTTACTTATAGACAAATATTTATGCAAGAAGTCTGAAATATGTGTGTCTGCAATTGTTGTGAGTACAACTTCTCGACGGCGCTCTGGAACTTCTTCCAATTGATAAGTCTTTTGAGATGGCCACTTCTCCTCTGGCTGAGTCAACCATTGTGGCCCATGCCACCATAAACTATTGTCTCTTAACTCTTTTGTGCTAATCCCTCCTGTTAATAAATCCGCTGGGTTGTGCTTTGATGACACATGATTCCAGATCTTGCCTTCTGTAGCCTGTTGAATATCTAACACTCTGTTAGCTACATAGGTTTTCAGCTTATACGGGTCTGTGTATATCCAACTTAAGACAATCATAGAGTCTGTCCAGAGTCTTACCGTTTTGATTCTTTCTACCAAGACTCTTTCCAGGCTACCAACTAGCTTAGCTGCTAAGTGCGCAGCATTCAGTTCTAAGTGCGGCAATGTAACTGGCTTTAAAGGTGCCACTCTGGACTTGGAGCATATTAACTGAGCGGCTATGCGTCCATCTTGCTCTTGATGACATGCATAAGCGCAAGCTCCATACGCCTTCTCCGACGCGTCACAGAAGATATGCACTTCTATATCTAATGACGGGTTACCTGGATTGACATTACGCGGTACTACCAGTGTTTGAGTAGAGCTGATAGCGCTATGGTACTTTAACCATTTTTTATGTAGATGATAAGGCAATTTTTCATCCCATTCTAACTGCTCTTTCCAAACTTGTTGCATCAACTGTTTGGCTATTACAAGTACAGGTCCGATGAGACCAAGAGGGTCATATACCTTCGAAATCAATGACAATAATTGTCTTTTTGTTATATTTTGCTCTCCATCAATCTCTACTTTAATCTCGTACTGAAGGTAATCCTGTTTCGCATTCCACTGCAATCCGAGCGTCTTTATTATTTCATGCTTATTTAAAATTAGGAATTCATCTTCTTCATTCTGCTTTACCGAGCTGAGTATTTCCTTGTCATTACTTCTTCACTTTCGAAGGTTAAATCCTCCCGCTTTGAGCAATTCCATTAACTGTTGCTGCAATAGACAGGCTTCCTTCTTAGTGTGTGTTCCTGTAAGCACATCATCCATATAAAAATCGTATCTTAATACCTTGGCTGCTTCTGGATACTTGACTTGTTCTTGAATTGCTAGCTCCATGAGACACCTTACGGCTAAAAAAGGCGCTGAAAATGTATTATACCATACGTTAACGTATTTAGACGGTAAGTCTAAACTTCCTCTTGCTTGCTTGCTCTCCATAGAATTCTCTGAAAATTCCTGTCTTGTTCTCTTATTAAAATTTGTCGGTACATCATTTCTAAATCTGCTGTCATTACATATTGATGTAGTCTAAATTTCAACAATATTTCCAACAGCGTGTCTTGTAACACAGGGCCTGCTGGTAATTTATGATTTAGCGACATACCAGATTCCGATCGTGCTAACGCATCGAAGACGACCCTCAATTTACTTGTCAGTGCATTGCTTTTAATTACTGGTTGGTGTGGCAAATAGTAAGCATCCTTTGCATTATTAGGTTGACTCTCCTTAATTCGCGACATATGACCAAGTTCTTTATATTGCTCCATAAAACAAACGTATTCTCGCTTTATCTCTGGTTGTCTTTCAAATCGTCTTTCCAAGGCTTGCAGCCTTTTCAATGCTGTTTTGTAGGAGTCGCCAAGTATTATATTGTCTCGTTGAGGTAGCGCCACTATGAATCGGCCTTCTACGTTTCTTTACATGTGAGTTTTAAAATGATTTTCGCACAATTGTTCTTCATGCGAGTAATATCCTTACTCGTTAAATTCTTCTAGTTGCCAGAACCTTTCCAATTGCTGACTCAATTCTTCATTGGTTAGTAGATTACATGCTGTACTGCTGTTATTTGTCTTGCTTTCGAGGTGTCCCCCTAGAATCCACCCCAGGATCGTACTC